CCATGACAGGCATGTCCACTCCTATTCAGAGATCTACACACCTCCAAATGAAGGGAGTCTTCAATGCTGTTTTGGGAAAGGACATGGGAGAAGCCCACAGAACAGAGCTATTCAACATACAGACTGATGACCAGTCCTTACACACACACACAAATAAACCATGCTAACCCAATATCCATTAATGAATTAAAGAAAAGAATTGCTTGCTTGGATTTTTTTCTTTTCAGGTGTGAAAGAGATTCATTGGGGTGACAAGGAGGAGTTCACAATTTAGCATACACCCCAGCTGTGACAACAAAAACCAAGACACTGTATTACAGCTGATCTTCAATGCTAACTTTTAAACAAAGTCAGTTCTCTCGTACATGGAAACTGTGACAAATTACTGCAATACAAGATACAGTGAGACATACAAAAGTAGTTTCATTAGTAAAGTGTGAAGGATTAAGCCCAGTTTGTACAGGGACTCCGTTCTTGGCAACTTTCTTGAAGGTAATTCCACGGCTGTAAAGACAAAAGTGTCACCTGGACTGCAGAGTAATGCAGTACTCGTCCATCTGCGCTACTCCTGCTAGGAAAGGGCCCCAAGTGCCAACAGACTTGGAACGCTCCCCAAGTCACTTCAACAGCTAACAACTTCTGAAATATGCATCCAAGTTAACCTTAACAGTCACTGAAGTCTAGTGACTCAAGATAGCTCCACTGACCCCCACCTCTCCCAAAAAACAGACACACACACATATTCCTCAGGAATGAGATAGAGGTTTCTAAGACTATCCTGTGGGCTCTCACAACTTTATCTTTACTGAGCCTAGGAAAAAAGTTTAATCCATTGCTTTTGGTCAGCAGCCACTTCTGTTTCAACACTAGAGACCACAGTGATTCAAACTTGTTAGGTCATCCCCCCAGTTTGCAGGAAAAAGGCAAAACACTGCAGGAACAAAAGTGTCTGTATAAGCAAAATACTGACGCCAGCCCTGCAGTTCAGTTACCAGCATGAATTAAAGTATAAATCTCCTTTTAGACCCTTTGTTTGTCAGCCACATACAAACACGCAAAATTAGACTTGGGACGGAAAGATGTTACTACAGATACACAGGTCATCTCCACAGCCACAGAAAATCAAGTCCTGATCTTCATCTGCTTTGTTTCCACATTTCATGAAAATCTCCCAGCTCTTGATCAGGCCTCCAGAAGGGCCTTCTACCTTTTGAGAGTTATTTTGAAGAAGTAAGGAGGCACCACATGGTCTTTTTAAAATACACACTCCAGAACTTCCTCCTGCTGCAAAGCAATTCACTCAACAAAATAAGTCAAGGAAAATCCCAGCCATTTTGATCATTTTCAGAAACAGGAACTTGTTACGACCATCTGCAGACGCAACAACCTCACTGGTTTCCAATTCACTTCCCTAAATGAAAGCTTGACGGTCTGTTTCTGAGCAAGATCCTTTATAAAAGGAGCTGAGTTCAGATCTACCTATTTTCCCTCATCCGTCGTGTGTTCTAACATTTGAAAGTCAAATTATCTCCCTTCTCTGAAACCTTCTCCCTGTTGACACCATCAGAGTCACCCCCATTCAAGGCTGGAAGCTGGCTTTTACTTGCCCCACACAATTAAACCCACAGTGAAGCCTTAACATATCTTTCAGAACAATTCTGGTAATTAAAATTCTATGCTGTGCACTAGGATTGTCTTCCCAGCTGAATTACCACAGTTCACATATCCTCAACACAGTCCATATATGTCATTCACCTGCTCTGTAATGACCCTTCTCACTGCAGCAAAATCATTCCACGGCTGTAAAGACATCCATGGAATAATCCCCACTTCTCCATGGAAATGCTTTCCTCACTTGCTGTATCTAATTGTAATTTATTTAACACAACATGGTTAGCTGAGGGAGATGAAGTCACCACAATAATATGGATTCAAGATGACAAGTTTGTTAAGTCCAAAAGGGGCAGAGCTCTTAATGTGCCAACTGCAACGGCTTGCCCCAAACCATCAGAGCATCCTACATGTACATTCCTTTTCTCCCCACAGGGACCTGCAAAATGCATTTGATGCCATCTGGCATGACTTCCCACAGTTGCTTGAAATTCACTAGTATGAGAGCCCGAATTCAAGAAAACGGTAAATCTTAGTAATGTGTATATGACAGCAACCTCATCATACTTCAGTACTTCTTCAAATGACAAGCCTGTGCAGCACCCAGAGTCCATGCCAAAGGACTGCCACTATGCAGCATCCATATTAAAGCCTGCACTATGCAAGTACAGAAACCACACAAAGGTAAACACTTGACAGCTCAGCTTTTGGTCGCAGAAGACATTCATTCTGTTCTCTCCTCCCTTCCTCACACATGTGTACTCATACCCAAATCATGTTTTTTATTCCTCAGAGCAAATCCCCTCTAAGTAGTACTCACTAAAAAAAAACCATAAACCAGAAAAAAAAAAAAAAAACAAACACCCCACACCTTGTCACCTATCATCTTTCTATAACCCTCGGGAACTAATATCTTCTGTAAGAAAACATGAAGACAGGCATCATTGTGTCCCCTCCTCACAGGACTACTTAACTCATGTTAAATAGTTGATCTCTTAATTTAATTTACAAAGCCCATCTGCTAAGCAGGGCAGTGGAAGATAGGCTGTGTGACATGACACCTGGCCACTAAGACACTAAATAAAATTATGGACTTCCCTAACGACACAGAACCCCCACACCAATACTAGAATTACAGCTCTTCATATAGCATCGCTCCAACCGTCACTGTCTGGTACCTGAAGTTTTAATGATTAAATCCTACGCACCTTGACTCAAAACTTATCTTAAGGCGTGGGCAAGTTTTAGCTTTCATTCCCTTCTTCTTGTCTTCAAATGCTACTTATCCAACTTGAAATGCAGTCAGCCACGTGGCTCAGATCTACTTCCACCTAGCAGTACCTCCTGCATGCATGGGGGTATTGCTCTTTCAGAGGATGAATTTTTAATTTACTCTCTCATTACAATATATAAGGCCCATTTTAACACTTGTTCACAAAATATACGTCAGAGTTCAAGGAATTGCCTAACAATTCATAGTTCTGAGGAGATGCCTCAGGTTTAAGAGCCTGAGAATATTTTTTATTCTAAAACATGAACTTGATTTTCATTTAGTCCACAATTTTGAATATGCATATCTCCCACTGACACGATTCTGTCTTTAATGATACCAGTTAGTTAAACTCTCAACTGTTACATACAGCTTGGAAAATAGAAGGAAAAATTATCAGGGATGTATCTTCCCAGGAAATGATCATTTGTCTTCCTCTTGTGTGTCTTACATGCAGGTGGGTATGAAATTGCATGGAATGCTACAGACTTCCGTCTCTCCCACGCTCATTTTCTGAAGCAGTAATATTAGCACCAATATCCAAACACAATCCCCTTCCAGACCTTAATATAGCACTGGTAAATTATTTCTACCTCACTTTAATCCTGCCTATTCCAGATAGTACTTTTATTTTTTTATATATATATATACACACACACACAAAGCTAGGCTTTTTTTTAAGCTAAAGCTTCTAGTAACAGATACAGTAGGACTGTCCAGACACAGCCTACAGATTAAGAAGCATCAACAGCTACCAAACAGCAACATAACACCAATACCCAAGATGGTTTTTTAAAATATACAAGAAAAAAAGGAGAATACATGATATCAAGACAGCCGATCTATTTAAACAACGGTTTAGACTCAAGTCAGTCTTCAGTCAACGCTGCTTACGTCAGCATCTCTTAGATGTATATACAAGAGTATTTAGATGTACTGGACAGCCTCTATGCTGTTTATTTAGATGTACTGGAGGTCTGACGTCATTAGCACCACTTTAAGGGTTAGCTATGAAGTCATTAGCACCGAAATCTAGAATTATTTTCCAGATGTAATACTACCTCTTTTTAAGAGATACAGCATCATCAGAATTGTACTTACATGCACCTGCACCGGCATTACTTAGTAACAGCCAGCAGCCAAGAGACTGCTTGGTATAAAACCTGCTGATCTTTACTTGAAAATGTTTCTTACCACATCCAAAAAAAATGGGAAAAACACTTAATTGTACACATTTAAACCTGCTGTTGATCTACTGAGTTCAATGCTAGACAGAGTTACTACTGGTAAACAAAGCCAATTAACATCATGCAATTAAATTGTTCCACCATTCTACTCCTTGGTGTTTCCAAGCAGGGACCGACAGTTGAGTGGGTTGAAAAGAAATAAAATTATCAAGACAAAACATCACTAGCTCATTGTTTTTTAAGCAACGTTTTGACTTCAATCTTGTTTCATGCATTAACTAGCTAATGCCAGTCCAGAATAGATCATAAGTCTTTGAGACAAAGCTACAGCCACCTTCAATGAAACATGATGCAAACCATCAGGCAGCTCATGAAGTTGCCCTCTGATATTTGGGTCCTCAGCAAGAGCCCTTGAACTCTCCAAAGGCTGTCCCAATCTACAGGGCAGCGTTATCCAAGGGCCTTGCCGTTTAAGTACACCGCCATCTAAACCTCTTCAGAAGTCTGCTGTGGAGACGGCCACACTCCTACCGGTGCTTGGCCAGCTCCTGGCATAGTATTTATGTCTCTGCCTAGCTTAATCCTGGCCAAAGCAGGCAGTGACAAGCGTGTGTCCATTTTGCCCTGTGTCCAATTCCCTCCCCTCTTTCCAAGCTGTGCAAGGCACACTTCACGCTGCCTTCCTGGATAAAAGGCGCGAGGTCATGAGGAAAACAAAAAAAAAAAAATGGCCGAAAGAGCAGTATTATGCAATATGAGAAGAAATGCAGTAATAACTCATCCTCTCCCGGAGATTTCTCATAACCCTTACGGTTTGCAAGCTGGATTACAGCAAGTGCGCCAGCCAAAGGGCTCAAAGGCACACTAAAGAGCCCCTCGGGCAGCCTCCTCAGCCCCGGGTCTTCGCTGGGGAAACAAAAAGGGATGCTCACAGTCCAGGTGCTTTTTCTTGGGCCCCATCACTTCATGCGTGGTGGCTTTGCAGACGGCTCTGGCTACGGCTGATCCCGTAACGCTGTACTGAGCAGCTGCGATGCGATCTGTCAGCGTCTGACCCGACATCTTCGCTGGCGTGCCTGCTGCTGCCTGCTCTGCAGAGGCGGAAAACACGGGAGGGGAAGGGGAGATTCCGGGTTTATCGCCGAGGGGAGGCTGGGG